TCTCCAGTTTATTAAAACAGTTCTAGAAATGGCATCAGACAGAACCAGATTCATAGTCAAATGCAAACATGGCCACACAGAAATTCAAATAACTCTATTGTAAAAATACCCTTTGAAAAATCTTTAATAAGCTGCTTGATATTTTCAGAAGGTCAGAGTCTGATGAAGGTGATGCTATTCATATGACTGAACTTCAGCAAGACTGTAGTGACTGTTACCACGTGATATTGTACAATACACCTAGCGTATATATAGTATATATATATAGTTAAAAAAGAAGTCTTTTATGCTTATCAATCAGTTATTTGCTAAAAAATACAGTAAAAACAGTACTATTGTGAAATATGCTTACAATTTAATTTACAATAGTACTGGGAATGAGAAAAAATAAACACAGATTAAGTTTATATATTATATTTATATGAATATAAAATTCTAATATATACTGTATATAAACTTAATCAGCAATTTTTTTTCCTCATTCCCAGTACTATTGTGGTGAAAAAAAGGCTTTATGTGGTCTGAACCAAATTAAAACCCCTCACACTATCCTCTTGAAGGAACCAGAGTTATTTGGACCTCTTTAAATCAAAAACGAATGATGCATTATGGGCTGTTTCAAGAGGTGCTTTGTGCTTCAACAAATAGCTTTATTTCTGTGGGAAACTGTCATCTATGGGATTTTTTTCACCTGTTTTTGGTCAAATTCATAAGTGTATGATCACGTCTACTGCATGATTAAGATGTGTATCATCTCTAAGTGAGTGTTTGCGGTGCCCTCTATTGGTTTCAGTATGTATTGCACCTGAAGATTGACATTATTTTGGTGGTTTATGAGTACAGAGCAGCCTGTTTGTGTGTTTTGTATAAACCTGCTCATATTGAGTTTCTCGGGTGCATAAATCAAACATCTTCGGAGAATCTCTTCTTTGTCTCGTCCCACACCAGATGTTTCCTCTAGCACTAAAGATTCATAAATGATGATTTACGTGCACCATCAACACACCCTAATAGATCAGAGCGGAGTCTGAGACCCGAAACATACATGATCTCAAGATTTTAATCAATAAAAGTAATTGAAACGTGCTTCAGTCATCGTGCTGAAGTTCTGCTGTCAGCCAGTTAAATGTGGAGGCCAAAAGAGGAAGAGGAAGAAGCAGAGAGTCAGACACACAGGAGGAGGAGCACTTATTTCTCTGGTTATTTCTCACACCCTCACCCAAAAACAGTCAGTGTAGGGCATAAGAAAGGAACTGAGATACTCCGAAAGAGAAAATACAGACAGAGATAGCCATAGTAGAGTGTTTTATAGTCCAACCAATGGCTCCTTGGACAAAAACTAACTCTCAAAGATATGGAGTTGGTGAGTTTTGCTGTTTTTGTGTGTGTGTGTGTGTTCTCTCTCTCTCTCTCTCTCTCTCACACACACACACACACACACGCACGCACGCACGCATGCACACACACACACTGATATATAAATAATACTAATTCTAATAAATTCAGCTGCACATCTTATACTCAGATCAATAGTAATACAACAGACATACTGCAAAATAGACTGTTTATTTGGTGCTTTATAATGATCTATCTATCTATCTATCTATCTATCTATCTATCTATCTATCTGTCTATCTGTCTGTCTGTCTGTCTGTCTCGCAGCTTGCACTCTCTCTCTATTTAATATTTAATTTAAAATGTATAAATATAGTAGAGTGTTTTATAGTCCAACCAATGGCTCCTTGGACAAAAACTAACTCTCAAAGATATGGAGTTGGTGAGTTTTGCTGTTTTTGTGTGTGTGTGTGTGTGTGTGTGTGTGTGCATGTGATTCACCTGTGTATTTTAAATGTTTTCTGTGAAGTTGTGTGTGTGTTTATATTCCTGGCGGCCTTCGCAGCGGCCGTATATAGTTGTTTGATTCAGTTCCTATATCTCAGGATGTGGGCAGAGACGGATCAGTCAAGCAGCCCAACAGTCACTGGACTAAACAGATTGCAGCATTTTATCATTTTGCACTTGCTTTGCTTTGAAAATCCGCAGTTTTTAGTTTTATGTCTCTATGACGGTGCAGTTAATGCAATACTGATATAGTGCAAAAACAGTTACCTGAACCCCATGACAGCTTCTTACTTAGAGCTTAAAATGCATTGAAAAAAAATTTGCTTCTTTTGGTTAACATCGGTTTATTAAAGTCAAAAATATTAGTTAATGCAACTGAATCAACCTGAAATAACTTCATAAGGGAACTTCTGCACATTTTCACTTTTTACAGTGCGGAGGAGTCGCATCTTTAGCCTGTTTGCTGAATATTGCTATAAGGTTTGTCAGCATTTAATAACACAAGACGTGCACTGAATTTTTAGAGGAGACCTGTGTGAAATAAATACACAAGTGAGATCTCTTTGTTAACTCAGTTGTTTCTCCTAGACAGCAGTGAGACGTTAGATGTGTCTCCTTAGAGAAAGAGAAAGAGACCAGGATCTCCTCTAGAGACTTACTAATGTCTCAAAATGAGCTCATATCTGCTCAGGATACCAAAGTCTGCGAGCAAAAGTCAGAGATCTCCATATGAATATAAATATTTCTCATCAAATGATCTGAGCTGCTATTAACATTCATTTTATTGCTCTATACTCTTACTGTAGGATAACTATGACTCATTTATGCCAGGGTTATTATAGTTAATTAACACATAAAATATATATTTACAATATAAAATAAACGTATATATTAACGAAAATATTAAGCTTATTTTATTTAAGTTAGCAACATATCTCATTTTCTTTTAGTTTAAGTTTGTGTACTGTTTGTGTACTAAAATGACTAAAAATAAATTGAAATAAAACTTAATAAACCATATAGACATGTTAAAAAGATTAAAATAAGCTAAATAAACTAAAACCATAATAAACATTTCTGTTGCTTCAAATAAAATAAACATTAACTGAAAATTGAAAATTATATATATATATATATATAAAAAGCAACATATCTCATTTTCTTTTAAAGTTGATGATTGTTAATAAAAACCATATAGACATGCTAAAAAAATTAAAATAGAGAAAATACAATAAAAACTAATTCAAAATACTTAAAGAAAAAAAAAATAGTATCTCCGTGATACTAAAATAACACTGATTTGTGTTATTTTAGGAATAAGGGAAACATCTGAGACAATGTTGATCCTTTAATGAAATGCATGTGAGAACTCCATTACGTTTTTCAGCTGTGACCAAATAACCTTTGGGAAGAAACATTTCATGCCAATCCCATTGAAATCTCTTTTAATCAACAGAAGCTAATAGTTCAGCTCGTATGCGAAGTGTCCAGCAGTACGAGCTTGAAATGGTGAAACTGATTAACTGAGTAACTTTATTTAGAGTTATTTGTAAATATAGTATTCACAGCGTTGGGGCTATTTTTGTGTATTCAGTCTTGAAAACGCAAAAGTGGCTTGACTACTGATTGTAGGCGTGCGCATGTTCACATCATGTAGCTCACAGCATGTTTGTTGGAAGAAATAAAGCTAATGCACATGCTAAAACTTATTAGGAACTTGAAATAAAAGCTGTCTGATCATGTAAATGCATATTCATTGATTTTAAATGTTATTTGAATTGTAAACATGCTGATGGCGGTGTGTATCTGTGTGTGCGGTGTTGTACAGGAAGCTGCTCTGAGAGGAAGTAGGCTAACGAACTCGTACTTGCAGAAATGAATTGTGTGAGTGTGTGTGTGCGCGCATGTGTAATATGATGTTCTCCATCTCTGCATATGCACTTTAACTTTCAGTGTCATTGATGCTGGCTAAAGTATTAAAGTTCAGCGTGTGCGTCGTCCTGCTGCGTTTCTGCTCCAGACATGAATCACAGGTCTCTTTTGAAGTGGTTGAGGGCAGATATCGATTAATGTCTTTTTGGAAGCATTAAATGATCTCGTTCTGCTGTTTTGCTAAACATCACTTGAAAAATAAATCCAAACTGTGACATGGGAGAATCTCTTTCAATTGCATGCAATTGATATTTTCTTTCTTTTCTCTGAAGTTAAGTGGAATTTTGTCGCCAAAGCGGAGAAGCAGTTGTCCCTGGCTATCGGGGACACGGTGCGCATACAGGAGTCATGTGAAGGTGAGGGATTCTAGGATATTACATTTACTTTTGCATTTATGCATTAGGTAAAGGCTTTTATACACAGCAATGCACATTGCATTCAAAGTATACATTTGATCAGTTCATGCATTCCCTGAGAATCAAACCCATGACCTTGGCGTTGCTTGAGCCATTTTCCACACTGAAAAAATAAAATAAAATAAAATAAATAAAGATTTTCGTACTCAGTATTGTTTTCTTGTTTTCCAATACAAATATCTAAACATTTTCAACTCCCCTGTTGTGTTCAAAAACTGGGTACAGCTTCTGTGTTTGGGGTCAAATTGACCCAAGTTGGTTTCCATGCAATTAGCCAAATCAAAAAATTGACATTATGAAAAACACTAAAGATTAATATAACAACAGAAAAAAAACTTTTTTTGTGTGTTAGGGGTCAATTTGATCCACATATATTTATGCGTTTTTTTTTATTTTTTGTCAAATCAAAACAAAACATATAGTGACAATTTGTACATTGATGTGCAAATAACTACTAGTACAAATAGTATCTAACATTATTTGTACTTAGTTTAAGTAGTATGTATTACTATTTATACTTCCTCTGCCATTTTATGCCTTTAAAATGGGTTTCTCACCCGTCTTTTCAGTGCTGAAACAATAAAAAAAAACTAACAACCAAAAACTACTTTTGACAGATTTTTTTTTTTGACTGTGTAACTAAAATAGATAGAGCTAGAAGAAACAATAACTTTTTCTTGGATGATTCAGAAGATGAGTCTTAGTTTCTTAGTTTTCATTTTCATACATTCTCAGGTATTTCATATTTTAGTGTTTGAGAAGCTATAATAAGTCGCATGGGGAAGTCGCGGCCTAATGGTTAGCCATCGTCGAAAAGAGAGGGTGAGTATGTCCTTCTGTTCATCAGTCAGTCCATCCATCCGTCCATCCTCTGACCCTCTGTCTGTCTGCTCCTGTAGAGATGAGGAGATCATAACATCTGCTGAGATGCCGCTGGTGAAGGAGGTGACCACCACACTGAGAGAATGGGGCAGCATCTGGAAACAGCTCTATGTGGTGAGACGTTTAGATGTGAGTGGGATACTGTACTACACTCTTAAAATAAAGGTTCCTTATTGGCATCAGTGGTTCCGTGAAGAACCTTGGAATCTTTCCATTCCACAAAAGGTTATTTAGATTTTTAAAATGTCCTTCACACTGAGAAATAAATAGTTATTTTATGAGCTGCTCACTGAAAGGTTTGTTGGGGAACCAAAAATGGCAGTGGCGGCTCGTGGGTTTTAAAATAGAGGAGGCACACTAATTGTATTGGTCTGGTGTCCCTGCTGATTATTATTATTATTATTATTATTATTATTATTTGCTTAACCACTTTAAA